ACTGTTTCATCCATCCGATACCGGCCCACACATTTATGGAAAACCGTCGTTGAAATCGTACTTCTTGACGAGCGTGTGCATTTTCATGGGACCAGGCTGTTGAAAACAGCATTACGAGTGAATCCTGCGTAAACAGAATGTAATTTAAGTCAGGGCGTGCACGACATTGCTGTAACAACAGGACATGGAAAATCAGCGTACTCCAAAGCTTGCACTTTTTGAACGTGGTGTGGATGTAAGTCTTGTCCTTTTAATGTATGGTGCACTAGAATCTGTGAAACTTCAACTTCAGCTGCAAGTCGGCGAGTGCTGATGGCGGGGTCTTTTTCGACGCGTTCCAAAATTTGTTCTTCGTCTTGTAGTATTCTTTCGATCGTGAGTTTAAGGCTTGTAGGTACCATTATGTCGGAGATGCTGTACCACTGATGTAGATGTTCACCATTGTCAAAGACGTTAACCGAACACACGACTGTCACCAACTGATACATGACTGGCCCTTACATGTTTTTGCACGTTCCTTATCAATGCGCCGCTTTTTCGGTTCTTAATTTTAGTCGTTCTGTGCCATTCATTGTGGTAGTTATGATAGATCAAGAAACACTATCAGTGTTTAATTTCAAATAATTTTTTCAAGACATTGCTACCACTTAGGAACATGAACTTTACACAGTGCAAAAATCTTATTGTGAGCTATGCCCCATTTTTTTTATTTTTGCGAAATTGGAATCATCCATTTCACGAAGTTAGGATTCACTTCTATTCACAATCACAATGATATCTACGTATTATTTCAAAGGCTCTAGTTTCGAAAATCTTTCACAAAATACAGATATATTTTTATAAGTAAGCCACATTACTCACTAACTTTGTCATTGGAAGAACAAAAGTAAATTGAAGTAGCTATAACAAGGCGTACAAAATTTACATGGATTGGTGTTCTAGAAAAAGAAAAAAAAGCATTGAATCTGAAAGAGTTTTTTAGCATATTTGCAGATAATTACCACAAAGATTAACTTAATTTAGCAATAAAAAGTACTCCTGTTATGAAGACTTCGTCTAAATGTTTGAAACATTTTTAATAAATACAATGGGCAACCTCTATTGAGTTCTGTTTATACTTGTGGACGGCTAACAATCTAACAATGTATTGCTTTGTGCCCTTAAAAAGTCAACAATAGCTTTATTGTTATAGTGATGGTGAATAAAAAAGTATAGATAATACTAATCACAGCCTTAGAAAATAAAAAAATAAATGAATACATAGAGAGCTAACGTCGGGATCGAACGCGCGACCGCAAGTCTAGGTGTCCACCTATTAATCACTCCGACACAGAGGTTGATGGCCGATGTTACTCGTAAAATTTATTATAACATCATCAAATTGTTGGTGGGGTTACCGTTTTTACCACCTAAGTAATTTCCTAATATACGTGTAAACAAAATTTAACAACAATCGGTGCAATAATTTTCGAGATTGTGTCTAATAAAAATTGACACAGATAGACAACAAACAGATGGAAACGCCAGACGATTTTTTCGTATTTATGGGTCATGTAAACATGAAAGTAGTCAGTCGCTTGATGGACCCTACTACAATACTTTCTTCGCTTACGTGTGGGAAGTAAAAATTCAACACTGTTTGAATGACTGGTTCGTTTGCCAGATTTGACGCGCCTTGATTTGTTTTGTGGGGATCTTTAAAATCTAAGGTCTAGACTCTAGATTAACTAACCAAACAACTGGGGTGATCTCAAAAACCGAATTCGAATAGAAATGGGCAGTTTATTCCAGATACCATTGGACGTACAATAAGTGTTTACAAATGTGCTGGTATGTGTTAGATGGTTGGTGGATGACAATTTAACGGTAGTTTTATTGAATCAATAATTCGCATTTTTGTTTTTGCTACTTAATAGGATTTAACCAATAAAAAGAATTATTAGAATCCGAAAGAAAAAGTTGGGGTTGCTGTCTAAAAAAATCGTTGACGACGTCACTTTACGAAAACGACTGGTTACAGAAAACAGATTACGGGAACAAGTGTCATTTTAAGAAATAAAATTGACCTATAAGATTATTTTTCAAACACTAACATCTTATACTGTTTCTATGGTTATTAAGAACTCCTATGTTAACTTTGATTTAAAATAACGTTGTTCTCTTAAAGTACGCTGTCAATGGCAACGTATCTTATAGCTTCTTAAAATACGATTTCGCATATTTCAAGTTTTTTATTTCGAATCTTTACAATAATTATCACCAAAGTTAAAAGTACAATTATTAAAATAAACATTTTGAGCGGTGTTCTTGCTAGTACTAGAGCTAGAACTGGAACTGCCACACGCTTCACTATAACTTAGGTTCGTGGGCTTGTCCATAACGATTTCGTTGTCAACTAATTCATTCGGTGCCAGCTTTTCATTTCCAAAAACTTTTTGAGCAATTTTCACTCTTTCTCCAAAAGATTCTTGTATGTAAGATTCTGCCACCTTGGTCGATTCCCACCCGCTATGCCTCTTCAACGAAGTAATGTCTCCGCCTGCATTGAATATAAAGTTACTTTGAAGAATAAAGGTAATCATTACAATACCTGCGTTAACCAGGAGAGTTGCCGAACTGCGGCGAAAAGAATCACCTGTGTATTTAGCTGGATTTTCCAGTATGAGGAAAGTTCCAATTTTTCTGGGAATTTTTCCAAAGGTGTTAATTCCTACATTTTGGCGAGTACATTTACCTTTATAATAGTGTAAAAAAAACCTCAATGGTGAATTTGTGGGTCGTAAAGCAACATAACGTCTATTCAAATCAATGGTATTAACACCAAAGCCTTCATTAACTACACTGAATCTTCTTTCTTTGTGGGTTTTACTGTCAGTTATAACAATATTCAGAACATTACCACAATCTTGTATATCGTCAAATCTCAGCACACAATTCGGCCTTTCTGCATGCTCCGGCAATTCCAAAGATTAAAGCAACCTACACGATTTCATATGTATACAAAATTCTTCTTATTAAGTAATTCTTACCTTCTCGAATAAATATTCTCCGTCATCAGCTTCTTGCAAGAAAGTTTTGATTTCTTCTCGCGTCAGAACGTTGGATTTTTTGCCACAATAACCAACATTTAATTTTTTATATACGAAATAACAGCACCAAATTTTTCAATACATATCTATGTTTTCTTTTGCCTTTAGAGTGGCCTTTAACATTGAATATTCTGGCCATAAAGAACAAGGTGACAACTTTTGCGAATGTAATTGTTAAATAATTTAATTTTATGAATTTTACTAAATATGTACTCACTCTCATGTCCAAAAAAGCCAAGATAACATCTTCGGTTACTTCCTTGACGCGGTTTTTATTTTTCCAGTTTTGGAACGAAACATATACTTTCTCGTATGCATTTTTTGACTTTAAGGGTAACAAATTGCTTCGCAATTCTTTTCCCTTTTTCGCAATTTCTTCCGGAACGTTTTCGCACATTTTGATGATGAAAATTGTTTTTTTCAAAATTTGTTTACTTGTCATAGTTACAATACACAGCAATCTTACTATGATACTATGAAGCTTCACAAATGATTTGGCAAAATTTGTAGTAATGAATTGATCAAAAAGGAGTTGATGAATTACTGTTAGTGTTTGAAAAAATCTTGAAGCCAACACGTGTTTTATAGTTTAAAAATCTCGCTCTATATTAACTACGATCTTGATTTTTAAACTGTCTATAAAACACTAGTTGTCTTAATAGCTATTTTCTATTAAGACAACTAGTGTTTTATAGACAGTTTAAAAATCTAAAATTATAAGTCAGGGAAAGCTTACCAATAATAATTGTAGTCGACGCACAATGAAAAAAAAAACACATTCTATCATTTGATATTCTGCGGTATCAAATCACGTTGAGTGACAGAATAGTTGCTAGTTCAAAATAAATTTTTAACAAAATTTTCCATATCTCGCATATCAAAATAGAAGTAGCCTACTAAGCACAGAAGCATGTTGAGCAGGACAATGCAAGTGGGATTTAATTAACACTAATTTAAGTGACATCACCGATTTTGTCAAGAACTTTGGTTGGTATTTTATTATTTCCAGGGAGTTTTAAAGGATTACTAAAGTTTCAAAATAAAATTGTTGGTTCGGAGAATATTTTCCATTTTGACATCCTTAATGAAAAACCGATGGAAGCTTTTGCATGGAAAAAAGTAGAATGCTACAAATGATAGGCGGCAAACATAGACAGACAGAAGGAAGCCAGAAGAAATTGCATTTTCTCTATTTATTACCTGCGAAATGTTGAATATTTATATGAAAAAATTTTAGGAAAAAAAAAACATAACAAAATGTATAGTTTCGTTCAAACAATATTTTTTAAAGATGCCGAATACAGTCTGATCAGTGAAGAACTCAACTTCTAATTTGCATTGGAAGAGTGCTTTTGCTTTTTGCCTCTCTATTTTCACTCTGTATATTAAAAAAAAACATTGTAATCCAATTTCGTTCTTCACCGAGCATCCTGTTTACCGCGATTGACCCAATTATCCCGTCAATCCGCGCACTCGTCACAACCCTGGTGGAAAACTTGCACCCCGCATCCATCCAAAGCGAGGGGATGTGAGAGCTTTACAAAGGACGAAACTGTACGCTTATCATACATATGCAACGCGTATCTACATACGTACATACATCCGCGATATAAAAATAGTCCGGCGCTGCCCTCCTCACAATTCATCTCTTCGCTGGTGCCCAAAATTGAATAATGTACCGGGTCGGCCGAGCAGAATAAAGCCGCATTACGGTTAATGAAGTCTGTAAATAATAACGGGAGACATTCGTATCATTTTTTCTCCTCCTCCTGATGATGCGAAATCGTCGACTCGGTCTCTAGGGGACGGCCGAAGGAGAAATATATGAAACCTGTAGGTGGCTGTAAAAACGAGGCCTTTAATTGCTCCAGACGACAAATCACGACGGTAAAGAACAACGCCCTCACGTAATCACATCCCCATTTCAATCAGATAGCGTATGAACAATGAGACGCGGATAAATAACAATTTTCCTTGCGAGGATGAGCACTGCTTGATGCCGCGTCTTCTAGTCTGGATCCTTGCAGGGCTAGTTACGTTTTGGGTGGGCTGAGCTGAAATTGAAAGCGTTTTTTAGATTCACCACTTATATATACTGTGTATTTTGCTACGTCAGTCAGTAACAGTATGTGTATTAGAAATAATATACAGTTTCTGTAAGCTTATTGGTGAATATAATTCACTAATTTTATTTAGAAAGAATGCAAATAATTTATTAATGCCAATATTTTCTTCCCGAGCAAGTCGTTTTGACAAGTGTCTATAGGTTTACATTTAGTTTGCATTCCACAGATCGAAGAATACCAGAATGCAGCTTTCTCGTCCCCGTTCGTTCGTGTCTGTTTCTCTGTCACCTGTGGGGCCCTAAAATAAGTGCTTTGGGCACGTTTTAGGAAAATAAATTTTACATATTTTGAATAATCGGGGATCCTAATCTTCTTTAAAATTTCCATGACAAATTAGACATTTTTCTAAAATACGGTAGTTTAAGATTTGTGTCTTTTCTCAACAGACGGTTTAATGGATATAACATGCTCGATTCATTGGAAATACATTTTGTATAATACATCACCATTCCAAGAAAACGTTGAAGTTCTTCTAAAGAGTTCGGCCTTGGTGCTTCTATGATCGCTTTGATTTTATCCTCAGATTTTTTGAGTCCTTTTTCTGAAATGACATGACCCAAAAATTGAATTCTCTTCTTGAAAAATTGACATTTTTCTCGATTCAGATGCAAATTATATTTACGTAATCGTTCAAGAACTTTAATTAAACGAAATTTACATTCTTTAATAGAAGAACCTTGGACCATTATACGAGTATTATCAAAATACGCTGTGGTATCTTCTAAATTGTGAACAATTTGATCGATGACTTTATGAAATTCATTTGGAGCCGTTTTGGTACCACAGAAGAGTCGTTTAGCTAAATAGGTACCTCGATGAGTTGAAATTGTTTGTAATCGTGGACTTTCATCATCAACATGTAAATATGCTTCGAAGACGTCTAATGTACAGAAACATTTACCATTTTTCATTTTATTGAAAATATCTTCTATTCTGGGAATAGGATAACGTTTATCTTGAAGTTGATTGTTGATAGTTACTTTGTAATCAGCACACAGTCTAATGTCACCATTCTTCTTCGGCACAATAACCAAAGCTGTTCCCCACTCGGAGTGATCAGTTTTCTTAATAATACCTTGATTTTCTCAGTCATCTAATTCCTGTTCAACTTTCTCTTGGAGAGCGTAAGGTGCTCGGTGAGGCTTTATAAAAATTGGTTGTGCATTAATTCGAAGAGTGTTGCTCTTTATTGAAAGTTTGGTATTTCACCAACTTTTGGTTGAAAAACGTCGCTGAATTGATTGAAAATTTCTGACATTGATGGTTGATAAGTAGAAATAGAATAAAAGTCATGAAAACTTATCTGTAGGTTTCGAATCCATCTTCTTCCCATAATGGTTGTACCATAATCAGAAACGACAAATAAATCACCCATGAACTTCTTCTTTTTATATGTAACAGGTATTCGTATGTAACCCAGAGGTTTAAATATTTGTTTTGTATAGGAACGAAATTGAATGTTTGTACTTCGAAGAGTCACTTTAAGATTCAATGCATCGAAGATTTTCTTTGAAATGATGCTGAGTGGACTGCCGGTATCACACTCAAATTTAACTGGTTTGCCAAGAATTTGTACTGTAATGAACATACTTGGTTCATAACCTGACGAAGAATTATTGAAGATGTCGATAATATTATTTATTTGAAATTCTTCATCAACAGAGAAATTTGAACCGATGTCGCCGTTTTTGACACTTTGTCGATTTTTTTGAAGTAATGTAGAAATAGATACTTTATTTGTGTGCCCTTTTTTTCGACAGAAATTACAGTGAAGTTTTTCTTTTAATGCGACAGTTGTCAGTTTGATGTTTCTTTTTTCCACAATGTAAGCACAGTCCGGATAGACCCAATTCTTGTAAATTTATGCTTCGAGCTGTTTTTTTTTTGAAGATTTTTGACGTGAAGATATATTTTGACTATGTTTTGATGCTGATTTTCCTTTAGTAAAACCAATTTTATGAACATTATTTGACGCATGTGATGAGTTGTTACAAACTTCTCGATTTTGAATTCTTGAAGCTTCGATTGCCAATGCTGTTTCTAATGCTTTATCAAAGGAGACGTTTACCAATTGAAGAATTCTTTCTCTAATGCTGGAATCTTGTAGTCCTCGGATAAACTAAGTTCGTAGTAACATGTCGATCACAGATTTCGAACAAGTGAGTAAAACAAGGAGGTTCTTTTTCTTTACATTCCGTTTTGAATTCACAATTCTAATTAATTCTTTAAAAGAATTTATATTCTTCAGCTAAAACATTTTTCTTCGGTGCGAGATGATTTCTTAGAAGATCCATTAATTCTTGGTAGGTTTTTGTAGCTGGTAGTTCTGGAGAGGTCAAACTTGCAAGTAATTTGTAATATCTGCTGCCCAAACAATGTATTAATACCATAACTTTGAGAGAAGAAGAAATTCGACGTAGTAATGAAGAAGTTTGAAGAAGTGTGTGAACCGAAACTGAATCTAACCGTAGAAAGATTCAATTTCTTCAATACCAGCCAAAGAGAGGGTGAACCGTTTGAGACATTTCTAATAGAGTTAAGAAACAAAGCAGCAACATGTGAGTTCGGAGAACAAAGAGGCAGTCTTATTAGAGACAGGATTGTGTGCGGCATGCAAGACAAGACATTACAGAAGAGGTTACTAAGAGAGAGTGATTTCAGTTTGAATACAGCAATTCAGCTTTGTCAAGCCAACGAGCTAAGCGAGAAGCAAGCCAGAGCCATACAGGAAGTTGCAACTCAACAAGTAAGGTAGATGCAATCAAATCAAATTATAAGGGACCAGGACCAGGACCGGAACGAGGACCATTGGCAGGAAAGCCCAGGAAAATTACAAGAGAGAAGAATGATGCAAGCAGTGCAAGTGGACAAGTGATTCAGTGTTCAAAGTGTAATAAAGTGCATGAAAGAAAAAGGTGTCCTGCGTTTGGAAAAGAATGTTTTAAATGTAAAGGTGGAAATCATTTTTCGGTAGCATGTAAGAAATGTTCTAGTAATAGTCAAAACAAAAATCACAGAAATGTACAAATCGTTAATGACCAGAAAGAGCCGTTTGTAATTTCTAAGATTTGGAGAAGTGGCAACAAATCAAAGGATGTATGGTTGTCAATGATAAATGTGGAGAACAATATGTTACAATTTAAGCTAGATTGCGGTGCTGACTGTAATATTTTGCCTTTAAATGTTTATAATAACTTAAATGTAAAAGAGAAATCCGAAAGATTTTTAAAATGTAATACAATATTAGTTACTTTTAGCGGATTTAAAATTAAAACATATGGAAAGATTTAAACTGTACTGTAAATAATAACAGTGAAACATGTTTATTTTATGTAGCAGATGTAAATGCTGAACCAATTTTAGGTTTAAGTAGTTGTACTAAGTTAAATTTACTTAAGAAAGTAGAAACTGTTACAGAAAAAAATGAGAATAAGAGTGAATTTTTAAAGAAATATGAATCACTGTTGACAGGTTTAGATTGTTTCGAGGAGGAGCATCACATCGTGATAGATAAAAATGTAACACCTGTAATCCATCCATCCAGAAAAGTACCCTTGTCGATGCAGCCACTACTTAAAGAAACACTAGAAACTTTGGAAGAACAGGAAATTATTGCCAAAGTAGAATATCCAACCGATTGGGTGAACAGTCTAGTCATAGTGGAAAAGAAAGATGGAACCCTGAGATTGTGTCTAGACTCGAAACATCTCAATGAAGGAATCAAGAGAGAACATTACACAATACCGACCGCTCAAGATGTACTTTCAAAGTTATGTGGAAAAAAGATTTTCACCGTGATATATATGAGCAGCGGCTTTTGGCAAATTAAGTTGGACAAAGAAAGCTTAGTCCTGTGTTGCTTCAACACGCCATATGGAAGATACAAATTTCTCCGACTACCATTTGGAATAAAGAATGCACCAGAAGTACTTCAGAAGAAAGTAGTACAAATATTCGGAGATATTGAACGAGTTAACATAATATTTGACGATTTAATAATAGCAGCAAGTACAGAAGAAGAACATGATAGAATTTTAGAAAAAGTAATGAAAAGAGCTGAGATAAATAAAGTGAAATTCAACAAGAATAAACTTCAATTTAAAGTGAAAGCGGTGAAATTTTTAGGTAACAGAGTAAGTGAAAAAGGATTAGTCGCAGATCCAGAAAATGTTAAAGCAATTGCAGCAACAGAGACACCAAAGGGCAAAGAAGAATTGGAGAGATTTTTGGGAATGATCAATTATCTTTCAAGATTCATACCAAACTTAGCTGAGTTAAACGCACCATTAAGACAGTTGTTAAAACAAGATATAGAATGGGTTTGGAATGAGAAGCATCAAGAGAGTTTGGAAAAGCTGAAGCAGTTGTTATGTAAAGCACCAGTATTACCGTATTATGCCCAGAAAGTTCCAATAATTATTCAAACGGATGCCTCAGGAAATGGTTTAGGAGCGTGCTTATTGCAAAATCAACATCCAGTTGCATACGCTTCTAGAGCACTAACAAAAAGTGAGAAGAAGATGGCACAGATAGAAAAGGAACTGTTAGCGATTGTGTATGCTATAGAAAAGTTTCATTATTATGTTTATGGAAAGAAGTTTACAGTACAGTAAACCCCTGGAAGCGATACTGAAAAAAGAGATAACGAAAGTCACTAGTAGATTACAGAGAATGATACTGAAATTAATCAAATATGACTTAAAAGTGACTTATACACCAGGAAAACATATGTACGTAGCGGATACTCTTTCTAGAGCATATTTAAAAGATCAGGTATCAGATGATCCAGAGCTTGAATGCGTCATTCATTCAGTATCCAAGCATATAGCGGTAACTCCAGAAAAAAGAGAAGTATTCCAAGAACACACCAAGGCAGACAAAGTATCAAAACTCATAATGAAATACCACTTTAATGGTTGGCCAGACAGTAAAAAGACACTCGAAGAAAATGTAAAAGAGTATTGGAAATTTAAGAATGACGTGGATATTCAAGATCGATTAATTTTTATTGGAGATAAACTACTTGTATTGAAGAAAATGAGATAAGAAGTTTTGGCATGGAAAAATGCAAGATGAGAGCAAGATCGGTTGTCTTCTGGCCAGGAATAACGAAACAAATAGAAAATATCGTTTGAAGATGTCGGATATGTGAGAAATATCAACACAACAATAGGAAAGAAACACTTATCACATATCCAGTTTCGAATAGAGCTTGGGAGAAAATAGCAGCCGATATACTGACATTTCAAAGAGTTGACTATTTACTAGTCATAGATCATTTATCGAATTGGATAGAACTGGTTAGATTGAGCGGAAAGACGTGATAATGAAACTAAAAGAGATTTTTTCACGCAACGGGATAACTGAGATATTGATTTCAGACAACATGCCATTCAACAGTATGCTGTTGAAAGAGTTTGCAAAAGAATGGGACTCCAAGATTGTTACATCAAGCCCCAGGTATGCACAGTCTAATGGATTAGCGGAAAGAGGTGTGCAAATTGCCAAGAACATACTCAGAAAAGCATGAGAACAGAAGATAGATATATATATATTAGGGTGATTCAAAAAAAAAAAATAATTTTTTTTTTCGTGTCAAAGAGGTTCAAAAGTTTCTTTTCAACGTAAAAAAATACCAGTTAAAAGTTGAGCTCTTAATATTAATATTAAGACCGTCCGCATCGCGTTTTTCTATTTCCCATAAGAATAACATGGGAAAATTTTTGTTTGCACCTTCTGATTTTTATTGCTAGCCCGTCGTGTGTCGTGAAAAAAATTCAATCACATATTTTTATAGAGAATTCAACGCTCTACAAAAAGTGTCTCCTATGATTTTGCGAGAAACCTGACTATGATTTTTTAACCCACTGATGCTGAAAATGTTCGGAAAGAGTTTTACTGGCCTTATTATAGCATAAAATTATAAACAATTACTGTTTAAAAAACTAAATTTAAAATGTGTATAAATTTTTGTGGTGATTTATTCCAATAAGACCATCAAATTTATTGTAATGCATCAAAAACGTCAAAATTTGGATAAATTTAACTTTAGCCTAAAATAACTCTTCAACTATCAGGTTTCTCGCACAATCA